ACGGCCAGGTGAGGGAGGCACGTGGAAAAGGCTTTGTGCCGTCCCTGCTCAGAGGGGATCCTCAGCACGGCCCTGAAGATCTGCACATAAGATGAAACAATGACCACAAAACAACCAAATCCTAAACACATACTAACTACAAGAAGCCCAAGTTCCCTGAGGTAGGAGTGTGAGCAGGAGAGCTTGAGGATCTGGGGGATTTCACAGAAGAACTGGTCCAGGGCATTGCCGTGGCAGAGGGGCAGTGAAAATGTGCTGGCTGTGTGCAGCAATGAATTGAGAAACCCACTGGCCCAGGCAGCTGCTGCCATGTGGACACAAGCTCTGCTGCCCAGGAGGGTCCCGTAGTGCAGGGGTTTGCAGATGGCAACGTAGCGGTCGTAGGCCATGACAGTGAGCAGAAAATATTCTGCTACAATCAAGAAGAGAAAGAAAAAGAGCTGTGCAGAACATCCTAAGTAGGAAATGTCCCTGGTGTTCCATAGGGAATTGACCATGGATTTGGGGACAGTAGTGGACATGGAGCCAAGGTCAAGTAGGGAGAGGTTGAGGAGGAAGAAGTACATGGGGGTGTGGAGGTGGTGGTCACAGGCTATGGTGGTGATGATGAGGCCGTTTCCCAGGAGGGCAGCCAGGTAGATGCCCAGGAAGAGCCAGAAGGTCAGGAGCTGCAGCTCCCGTGTGTCTGTGAATGCCAGGAGGAGGAACTCAGTAACAGAGCTGCCATTGGACATTTCCTTCTTCTGAGCATGGGGACCTGTTCAAGGAAGAAAAGACAGTGACAAGTTAGGGGAGACTTTTCTAAGCAAAATCAGAGCCATTTCTCATACACACTACTCTTGCTCCACACACCTACTTTTCCTTTTCCAGGAGACCTTCCATCAGCCCAGCAAATGGACCTCTTGTTGATGCTGACTGACTGTGCCATAAGGAGAAAGGCCTCTGCCTTCTATCTGCTCAGGAGTCAGCCCTGATCTGCAGTAGTGAGTTCATGGGAACGGTGTGGGCAGGAGACAGTCCTGGTGTTTGACTCTGTCAGATGAAACCTCTCTCAATGCAGAAGTGCCTGTCAGCATCTGCATGTCCAGTGCTGAGGAACCAGGATGGCAGAAGTCGTTCTGAGAGGTTTGGGGTTTTGACAGCTCCCCCCATCTGCCCTGAGGAGTGTTCTTGGAAACCCTCAGCATTGCTGCTACACTCAGTAGAAGAAAGTGAGTCCTGCAAGGCAAGAGGCTTGACTGTGGCTCAGTACAGAGGGAGGGGAGCTGGTCTGTCCCGCTGTCTTGTTCCCAGCTGCCCTGGGCTTGCACCTTTCTTAGGTGGAGAGTGGTCAAACACCCACGTGACCCTGAAATCAACCAGACACTGCTGAGAGCAAAGAGATCCAGTGCAAACCACTAAATGTCGCACCCCTTCTCAAGGTCTCAGCACCTCATTTCCAGCCAAAGACACTCATGTCTCATTTCACACACCCCAGACCAATTCCTCAGTTGTAGAGTCTTTGCCTTCTCTAGGGGACTTTCAGATAAAACAGAGGGTCTATGGGAAAGGGTTACACCCTTGAGGGCCACACAAAGCTTGGAGGAACACCTGAAATAGAGAGTCAAGTGCCTTAAAGATGGCAAATCAGTGAGTAAGAGTCAGGTCAGAATCCAGTTGGACAGACTGTATTGAGCAGACCTCAATACAGTGTAGTGGAGGGTGTCCCTGCCCATGGCAGGGGGATTGGAACTAGATGATCTTTGAGGTCCCTTCCAACCCAAACCATTCTGTGATTCTGTGATTCTATGATCTGCACAGATCAGAGGAAAACTGAGACACTGATTCCCGTGGACACAGCTGCATGAAAGGACCCACAGGATCAGAGTGTGGCTCTGCAGATGAAACTCCACCTCCCCAGAGAACCTGAGAGCAAGAACGAAATAACAATGACATGAACACAGACAAGTGGAGAAACAAGGGAAACAGCAGTGAGGGTGTGGCTGGCCAGGGCAGAGCCAGCCGGGCACAGCGTTCCCCTGACCCAGCTGGTCACGCCACCTCCCAGACACCACCATGGCCAGGCAGCTGCTCTCAGCCCCTGTGCTCTGCAGAGGGACCTGGGCACGTGGCTGGAGAGCTGCAGCACAGCTCTGCTGGAGCTCTGGCTGCTGGGGAGGTGCTTCAAGCCTTGGGCCCCACCGCCCCGAGGGCAGAGGCTTTGCTGGGTGGGAGAGGAGGCAAGGGGGCTTGCTCAGAGGGAGGGGGCTGCGTTGGAGGGGACCCTGCAGAGTTTTCTGAATTCTCCCTCCCAAAACATTTTAAGTTTTCATTTCCTCTCATTCCCTGGTCATGCCCCTGCCACTTGGATATGTTCCTCCTGGGAGGTGTTTCACTGTGCGGGGTCTTTCCCTGTGAATGCTCACAGCCCCCATC